ATAGACGAAGTTGCTGCCTAGTGCTGATTTGCAGCTGTGTGCGCATTGTGCGGTAGTCCTTCAACTCCCATTCTCAGCGTCTAAAGGCATTGTAATCGCCATGACACTAATCTCCCGTTTTTTAACCCTCTTTCCTAGGTGGAGATATCTGGACTCTTTCCTCATCTGTCCCTTCAGAGGGCTCTGCGCACTTCTCTGACCTTCATACCCAAAAAGCCGCAACAGGAGGGCTGGCAAGCCCCGACAACCTCCCTGACCGTCCAGCCAATGGAACTGGAAGCCTTTCTCCTGCTACCCGCGCAGCAGTCGCACCCCTAGACTTGATCGCCCCCCGCGGGATCGTATGCGCGCACGCGTTTATATGTATGCGGTGCGGTCTGTTTTCTATTGGCTGCGTCCTCTGCACGCAAGTGCAGTGTCTTCCATCCAGCACCTGTAGACCTGTGTATATTCGCCCCCCCTCCCCCTGTCGGATTCCATGGCGTTCCTGCCTCCCCTTCCCCTTCTTCCTATCTCGCCATTTGGCGTATTTTATTTGACGTTACTTTGTTTTATGTATTAATTCTTTCTACTACTTCCCTCCCCCGTTCTATCGCGCCTCATCCCCGGCACCGTGCGCGTCTGTGCCTTTAACTGTATGACTTTGCTTTTTGTTGGTTGGCAGTATATATCCACAGCCTTGCGCCGTTTGCTGGCATCTGGGGAGCCCGGTGGGCACATTAAGGACGTCAAATAATGGACCTCCCGTAATAAACCACCTTATCTGCACGTCTTTAATTATGCACCACAGGAAGGGACGCATCCTTTAGAGTATATTAACCTTTAAAGCAGTTGGACCCGTCAGCCACACTAGGAAGATGCGCGGAGGCGTGGGGGTCGACAGCAAAGGTTTCTCAAAACAAGAGCGGGGGAGTGGTAGCTGCGGCGAGGTAGTGTGCATGAAGCCCAGAAGGCGGTAACAGCAGCTATCCCAGCCAGTAGTTCGTGCTGTTAGCCCTGTCGTGATGTGCGTTCGCCTGGTCTAATGTCCGGTTTCAGCCAGTCTCTGAAGGCGACAGTATCCATCCGTGTCGGCGAGTCGGAGGCTGAGTTACACGAGGCAGAAACGGTTCATTGGCGCCACGCCGCAAGGGCCCTATTCCGGGCGCCTGTTGCGCCTCTTGGGAGTGCGTGCGCATCAGCGAGGGTCTGGTTTTCGTCCTCCCACAACCCCCTAGCTGGCCAACCATCTCCGAGGCTCAACCAGACGTAACTGTCGCCTAAGACGTTTTGATGCATACGTCGCTCACCCGGCACTGGATGTACCCTCGACCGGCTGCTAGCGTCTTCTTCAGTTATTCTGTACAGAATACGCTATTCTCGCAACTGATGTCCAACTGCTCTTTCTTCCGAGATCCAGCCTGAAGGCCGTAGTGGCTAGTGCCTCGTCGTGGCTTAAACTGCCGCGACGGCGTCACAGATGATCCGGGCCGTACATGTTCCGGCGTGTCGTCCGGTCGTCCCGTCTTTGATTTCTCTGGTTCCGCTCTTCCGTCCGCCTCCAACCATCTTGCTGATGGGAAAGCCGAGTGCAAATTCGTCGGTGCTGGCCCAAACCATCAGAAACGGGCAATCTGAGCGGGCGGTCCTTCAGCGCAGCAGTCGGCCCACTTCACTATAATTCAGTATATTTAAAGCAAACAAGGACAGCTGGATTTAATGGTACCAGAAAATCTCGCGACGGCTTCTCAACTGCAGCCTGTCGTTACATAACATAAATAGCAAGTGAGGAAGGTACATAAGTTTGAATTTCGACAGAGAAAATCAATATAAAACAGCAAGGTCAACGTATATTGCGCGAAGACCAATCAATAAAATGATAACTTCAAAATGCAACCGAGGAATGAATATGGGAAGTAAACATGCTGAGGGATTTTGAGAATCAAAAGGGCTCAGGTCTACCAGGGCAAGCTGAGGTTGACCACGTGGTCTAATTATTCACATAGGTGGGGTTCCTCCCGCCGTATATAGGCTGCCCCCAGGTAGCGCAATAATCGAGTAGTCAAGCAAAGTACTTCCTATAATAAACCACTTCATATTCACGTTTCTAGTTATGCACCACAGGATGGGGCGGTCCTTTAGAGTATATTAATCGTCAAAGCAGCTGGACACGTCACCCGCACTAGAAGGTTGCGCGGAGGCGTGAGGGGTCGACAAGCAAAGGTTTCTCAAAATATGAGCTAGGGATTGGGACAGTGGTAGCTGCGGCGAGGTAGTGTGCATGAAGCCCAGAAGGCGGTAACAGCAGCTATCCCAGCCAGTCATTTGTGTTGTTAACCCTGCGCTCGCCTGGTCTAATGTCCGGTTTCAGCCAGTCTCTGAAGACGACGCTATCCATCCGTGTCGGCGAGTCGGAGGCTGAATTACACGCGTCACAAGTGGTTAACTGGCGCCACGCCGCAGTGGCCCTATTCCGGGCGCCTGTTGCGCCTCTTGCGCACCTGCAAGGGTCTGGTTTTCGTCCGTCCGCAACTCCCCAGCTGACCAACCATCTCTGAGGCTCAACCAGACGTTGCCTCCGCCTGAGAGGCTTTGACGCATACGTCGCTCACCTGGCGCTGGACGTACCCTCGCCCGGCTGCTAGCCCACTCCAGTTATCCTGTACGGAATACGCTACTCTTGCAACTGAAGTCCAACTCCTCTTTCTTCCGAGATCCAGCCTGAAGGCCCTGGTGGCTAGTGCCTCGCCGTGGCTTAAACTGCCGCGACGGCGTCACAGATGATGGGGGTCGTACATGTCCCGGCCTGTCGTCCGTTCGCCCCGTCTTTGATTTCACTGTTTTCGCCTGCCTGCCCGTTTCCAGCCACCTTGCTTATGGGAAAACCGAGTGGAAATTCGTTGGTGCGGGCCTAAACCATCCCTGTCACCAGAGACGGGCAATCTGAGCGGACGGTCCTTCAGCGCAGCAGTCGTCCCACGTCGACCGCCCTTCTCTGAGATCTGTCCCCCCAACGAAACCAGCTCCGGTGCACACCTAAGACTGCACATAACCTTGCAAATAAATGTTCAAGTCTTCGGCTATTCCCACCCGGTGAATTTGCTTCACGGAATCCTGGATAACTGCTGACTCATGAGAGCTCGACCGTCGGAGCCGAGGATGTTCACTGTGTGCCCCACAGCAGGGTGAGAGCCGGCACGGTGACTTGCGCGTGATGTATTTTAAAATGGTAGAAGACTCGCTCTAAATCTACCGCACCCTCTCGTCTTCCTCCACCGGTGCCCGATATTACGATTTAGTCGAGTAGACCGGAGGTGACAGAGGGCGCAGGTGACTGGCACGGCGAAACCCACGCCTAGGCGGTTGGTGTATCCATCCGTATTTGTGTAACACAGTATCTGTTTGCCAAGAATGTCTATTGTTGCTACTTGATAACGAGTTGTCACTACTGCCGTTGATGGGGTTGTTATTATCTTCCAGTTCCTCTGTAGGCTTCAGTGGGCCACACCAGTACAAACTTGCATGAAGTTCGAGTTGCGCGCGGTAATTCACGTTCCGGAAAATATTTCTCCCGATTGCGTCGATCAGCTCTACGCTTGAGGGTGTGGATCTCTCTCTGTTATGCGTAGGGCACAATGTTAAAATTCAGGACCTTCACGAAGGGCGCTTGAGTTAGGTAGAGCACCTCCTTCTTATGAGAAGAAGAAGATGAGTTATTGAAACAAGTACGGATATAGCAGAGAATCAGAGAGCACTTGATAGCACACGCAGCACGCGGTTCGCGCGAAGAGTATGCGCGAGCGCGATCGCTGATAACGCAAACATGCCAGTCAATGATTGCGGGGAATCGATAAAGTTGTTATCCAATCAGATAACGAAGTACCCCGATCGCGAGATTTTCACGATAAGAGTGCATCAGGTAGCGATTCAATGTCACTAGGATACCTATTCTTAGTTTTAATATTCAAATTTGTACGCGACTTATAATGAAACAAATGAGGGAGTTGTAGTATTTAGATGCGGCCTGGAATCTTACCGAACGAAACACGCTCGTGGTGCTCCTCTATGTATCTATAAAGACAGACTGATCAAAGAAGTCCTCCTGTAAGCTCAGTCTAGCACATCTACGCAGCTACCCACCCGAGGTATTATCATTCACATCTGGTGGTAAGTCCTTAAACAGTTTCTCGTCAGACACGGGGGTGTCCTCTTCTAACGAAGGGACGATTCGAGCGGCCTTGGTCGCATATACTGTACCTCATGCGTCCCCTACGACTCTGGCAACAAAGGAGGAGCTAAGAATGCATGGTATGCCGCGCATACGAGTATTACACCCACAAAAGGCCGAATATGCACCTGATTAGTCTTTTGGAATTTACTGAGCGGCTGTCGCTGGGCCTGCCCTCTCACGCATGAACGCTGTTGGATGGAGTAAACGTTACTGTTATGGGAACTATAATGATGACTGCGTTCATCTAGTAATAGCAACACAGTTGAAGGCTAAAGAGTGCACAGTGGTCGTCGTGTGGGCAGTGAGAAACCAATCCAATTACTGCTGTTTCTGAATTTATTTAAGAAGTTATTTTGTATATTCTCAACCACTACTAATATTCTGCGTCATAAAAATCAGTTATTAATGTCAATATACTGCTATCTTTTGGAGAAGTGCAACAACGACTACAAATCCGACACACCTTTGCACCACTGAGACGGGGAATGCATTTGTGCATAGATTTCACATTTTCCTCTATACTGATTTCTCTGAGGGCGCTCACCGACATGGCAGCCAAAAAAGATGCCCTCAGGCAACTGAAAATCGGCTCCAAGACCTGGGCTGATCTGACCCAGGACGGACCGGCCTGGAGTAGAGCCGTAAAGGCTGGAGCAACAATCTACTAGGCTAACCGGGTAGTCGATATCTAAACTAGGAGTGCGACTCATAGGTCACAAGCGTTCTCGACCGACAACTCCCAAACTCAACCCTCTTCAACACGTGTATGCTATTTGTGAGCGTTTCCCGCATGGATTTTCCTCCTCAGACATCTCCGGACCCCATTCCACAGCAACTTCACAACTTCATCTTCCGCCTTCACAGACGCCCAATTGTAACCACTGCACAAAACGTCATGGCCATCATTGCCACCCGTAATTAAACGCCCGATTCCACGACGCCTTACCCGGCGTCTTCGACTCCCACCGCCTCTACCATTTCTCCCACAAATTTTGCAACAATGACTACCGCCTCCTCAACTCTTCCCCCTACCAGTGGGAGCACTCCTGACATCAGGTTAACCACTATAAACGTCACCAACAGCAATGTGGACTAGATCCAAACCCTTCCCCATTGCGTTCGCGTGGTCACGTTACGCATCCGCCTGGTCGACCACCTGCGAGCCTGTCGCACAGAGGCCGGTGAACCTATGCCTGGAGCACTGACTTTTACCTTCTGCACTCTCCCCGCATAACCACATAAATTCAGTCATCGCAGCGGTCGTAATGGACAACTTACGCCTCCATGGCGACCTAGCGTAAAACACCAATGGTCGAGTTTCATCATCATGCATCTCCTCACCAGCGCATGCGCCGCAAATAGGCCCGTCTCTCAAATAAATGGGAATCGTGCTCTTCGGCTCCTCCACGTAGTCCTCTCCTACTCTAGCAGTTGTGAGATCCATACAGCCCGTCCAAATTGCGTAAAAACCTGTGTGGGAGCAGGTCGTGTATGGCACGCGTAAGAAGATTGTTTTTACCTTTGATAGCATTCACAACATCCGTCCAACTGACTAGTGCACGGGAGAGAGAAGAGAGTGAGTCCGACTCTCTGCCTGACCCTCTGACTCTCTCTCTCCTCCCACTATAAACAGTCCGGCGCGCCTGACTTCAGGTGGCATGCTAAACCTCCGGGTCTGGAGGGCCACCAACTGGCAGAACTGGCGGATTGGAAAGTCAGGTTGCAATTGTTCCCTAATGATGTGGTCTTTCTAGCGCTCTCACTCAACTGGTATTCAAACCAACCCCCCTTCCGCTATCTAGTTGTGTGAAATCCGCGATCCTTTGTGCGGCCACCAGGAATGTGTCGCACGCGTGGGCGGGCTGCTCACGTTTGTCAGCCAATGAACTCTATCTTCAGGTCTACTTGACTATATCCGGACACTGGACCGCGGAAAGTGATGAGACTCTGCGCAAGCCCACAATCACTATAAACTTGTTCACGTTCAATTCCTCGTCCTTGCGCCCGGCCATGCTATTACAAGAGCACGGTAGACATCGCCGCAACGACGGTCGAACTATCATAGATATCGCTTGTTTTTGCATTCATTCGTACTGTTTTGCATACTTTGCGAATAATTTTCCGAAATAATACTATATTACTAATCTGTGTCTTTCTTTTAGTCGGATCAAACACTACCATATTGCTCAGTCATTTATTCTCGGTTTATATTTCAAAAGGATTCTTTCCTGAAACATGGAAAACGTCAATTATCATTCCCGTTTTCAAGTCAGGATCTCGGTCCGATGTTAATAACTATCGGGGTGTGCACAAAACGCCGTCTCTAGCAAAACTTCTTGAAAGGATTATTTTCAATGAAATTCTTGACTTCTATCTAGCTAATCGGCTTCTGAGCTCTAGTCAGCATGGATTTTTTCCTGAACGATCCTGCGAAACATGCCACTTGGCTTTTCTTAATCTAATCACTTCTCTTCGTAATGAGCGGCAGTCAGTGGTAGTTATTTATTTTGATCATAGCAAAGCCTTTGACAAGGTGCCCCATAGACGTCTTTTAGTAAAATTGGAAGCTCTCGGCATCCGGCCGCCTCTACTCGACTTCATCAGGTCATATCTGTCCAACCGATATCAGAAAGTCATGGTCGGTAATAGCTACTCGACACCCCACTCGATCACGAGTGACGTACTTCAAGGCACGGTCCTGGGTCTGCTACTCTTCCTTCTGTACATCAATGATATTTCGACTGAACTCGGAAATTCGCAAACTTTTACTTATGCCGATGACCTCAAGCGTGTTTACTCATACTCTAAGGACTCCGCAAATGTTTGTGTTGAAAAAATTAATACCGATTTACTACGCTTAAGCAGATGGGGTTCGACATGGCAGATGGAGTTTTCATCATCCAAGTGTAGTTTCATGTCTTTTGGTCCTGCTGAACTTCCTCGTCCCATAATTTTTCTGAATAACCCACTCTCAGAATGCCTCACCATAAAGGGCCTAGGTCTAAGTTAAACAAATAAGCTTGCTTTATCACCTCATGCAGATAGAATCTCTGCCAAAGCCGCGCATATATGTGGATTCATATCGCATAATTTTTTCCTTCCGGAAATGAAGCTAAGACTTGATCAAATGTTTCTTCTTCCAGTCCTCGAATATTGCTGTCCTTTCTTCGGTTTAATGAGTGCCTGCGACCGTAATAAAATCGAAAATGTTCAGAGGGTTTTCACCCGGAATCTGTTCTCTCAAGCTTATTCCAGTATTTCTTAGACTCAGAGATGTCAGCTGGCGAACATTAAGTTTTTGTGGGTTAGAAGACTCGAAGCTGGCCTTTGCTTCCTTGTTCGCATCAACTCTAGCTCCACTCTTCCGCACATTGACACTCTCACTGCGAGAGATCGGTCTTATGCCGCGCGCAACTCCTGCATGGTGATTCCGCCGCCTCTTTGTACTACCTCTAAGCGCCCCCTCTTCTTTGCTTCCAAATATGCCTTCCTTTGGAATAATCTTCCGCCTGAAATTAGATTATCGCCTAAGTTACTGGTATTCAAGTTGAAATTACGCAACCATCTTACACCGGAAAGCATAAAGGCACTGGTAACGGTCTCATTCTCGAACACTCAGATTCTTGACTTCAAGAAGGGTCCTCCTGGGATTTAGTGGTAGATTAAGTGGTAACTCTTAATTATATCATTAGAAACCCCTGTTTTGAATTGGTTTCTAAATCCACTGCTATCACTCCCCCCCCCCCCAATTTTCGCGGTTTTCGAGGTCATCTCCCGCATTCCGTCCTCATGCGGTCTGTCGACGCTCACGGCGGAACCCTCAGTATTCACTGTCTACTAGTAGTTCGGTCGTACCTCCCTTCCTCACTGCTCGGCTGAGCTCGAAGCGTGCTGTGGCCGATCGCATCTCGGTTCCTCTCGTCTGGCCTCTTTGACGCGGCGTACCAATTAGGCCCAGACTATCTCAATTGTGAATCCCGTATACAATGCCATTTGCAAGCCAGTCCTGTCTGACCCACATTCGTACCCATCAAGGCTGACATTTATTGATACCCTGACGATGACCGACAACATTCCGTTATATACCGTCACCTACAGGCCAGTCCTGCTCGCTTTTTTCTGTTATTATTTTTAACTTTTTGTAAGGAGTTTTTTTTCATCCCTCAATCATCATGTTTCTCAATGGACTTCTAATTAAGAAACTATGAATTGCATTTCGTAAAGATTCGGCCTACCTCGTCTAAAACTCGCATGCAAATTTATTTTAACTTGCTTTGATGGGACCCCGACGGGTCTTTAATAAAAATTATCTATCTATCTAACTACCTTTATGGGAGGGAGCTAGAAAGTGCGCAGGATGCATGGGGCCGAATTCGAATCAGCTGTCTTTCGGATGGAAAAATAAACTTTGAGTTTTCGGATTCTACACGATTCCGAAAACTGCGACGAAGTCGCGATCTGTTCGTGCTCGAAGTGCTATGCGGGAAGAAAATCAAGAATTTAGCTGTCCGTTTTTGTATACTAATTAAAGCGCATTTGCTTTGGTTTACACAAGTGCGTGTATTCGTGCGTCGCACAGTTACATATTCCACGCCATATTTAACTATCGTTCGCAAACTTTTGAGCTAGATTCGATCATATAAAAGGTAGTAAAAGTTGCTTGATACATATCTCTACCAAAAACCCTCTTAACTACTTCATAGGCCTAGAAGAGTGACCAGCACATCGGTGGCCGCCTTTTTACGAGCAACAATGAGGTTGCCGCTCCCTCACGCACTGCATATTTCTTCAGCCTTGTACTGTGGAGGGAATTCCCTAGAAACATCCCGCCTGGCGCTAATTATTCTTCCATGGGACGTATTCAACACTATGCTTACTACGGTCATTGTTCATAACGACCGGAGTAAGGCTGATAATGCACACCCCATCTTTTTAAGGATCTCGGTGGTTGCTGCCAACGGCAGTACAATCAGTCTCACAAAAGTATTGTGCGAAGTTAAGTGAATGTCCATCGAGACCGTCTCCACTAAGATTTGGATGTGCACAGGAAAACTGGCCTCGGGTGGGTTATAGTACTTCGTAAAGCACCTCACTGCGGTAGAACATTCATTAAGTCAAACAGTGATGAACTTATGCAGGCCAGATTTATAGACTTCATCAAGGACTTCGACACAGATGACTGCCGAAAACGTACTAAGAAGCCCTGCGGATATAGCCCAAATGAAAACCTAGACAACTGTACCAGACTGTTTTACGGCAAAACCTCCCTCGTTTGCGTTCGGCAGACTGCGTCACCCTCGATATGACTGCTACCCGTTGGTTCCCGTACTGATGACTTGTGTGAGGTAGTTTTCAACGCCTGCCTAACACTTGCGGGTTAGGACGGCCCAGATCATGACGCCCCGTACCAGTTGTCCGGAGGCCACGCCGGACAAAGAACCGCAAACCGTCAGGACAGTCACACCTAGGAAGCCGGCATGCGAGCCAGACAGTAGCACGCTGCTGAGTCACGCGAGACCTCCAGGGCCTGCCTATGTGGGTGCTCAGGACTGGACCACTAGGAACACTCAAACTAGACAAAGTCTGAACCCTAAAATATGAAGTTACGGACGGAAGTATTAAGAGTTGGCGTTCACATGGTGACTGGCACAGTAAAGCTGCTCTCTGGTCTCCTGGATGTTTTTTATTCCGCACAGAATTGGCGTCATACTATTGGGGGATATAATATAGACAGAGTTTAAAAGATCGCTAGACACGAGATTATATTTCTGCTCATGTCTGTCTTCCTCTACTTTCCGAATAGATTCAAAACTGGGATTTCGCTTGGAATGCGCACAGGAAAAATTTTAATTGGTCCCTGTTCTGGTTTTTGAGGGCAATGTAGGTGTTTCCATTCATGTACCCTATTTACAATGCAAAATTTTATGCAGTCTACAGAGTAATCGTGGGGGTTAGAGTAATAAAGGAGAACCGCAGATTGTAGACATTTGAACATGAGTGTCAAAAGATGAATTCAGTCTTTCACGCGTATATCTGAGAATTGCGGTCAAAGTCCTTGGTGGCCCTATTAATTACAGTAGCAGTAATAAATACAGTTAAATCGAGTCAGCATAAAATATAGTCGTTTGCCAGGTTTACAGAGATATTTGTTTAACCAAACTGCAGTGATTTATCGCATGGTTCCGGTCTATCTTGGGACAAAGACATGTCAATGTTTCCTCTGAACTGTTTCACCGACGATGACAGCACAACCATCGCAGGGAGGGCACTCTGTAGCTTGACTACCCTCACAGGAGGGGAAGCTGCCCGCACACGTGATTGCCGAAGTCCAACAGCGGCAGCAGCCGGAAGTACGGCGTACCTCCTGCTCGATGCAGAGGTATTCTAGTAGGTATATGCAAGAGAACCCCAGCTTCTTCGGCTTATATGGCTTGGGAAAAGGCTAAATAGGCCTGGACTGCCGACACAGAGACCCTATTGGAACACCCAAAATAGTTAACGGCAGGGATGGTGTAAAGTTTGGTTGCATTTTCCACTGGGTCCGTATGTTCAATCGTTGAAGTCCTCTATAAACCTTAGGTAAGAGGGCTTTTTCTGCAGAAAGTTTCTTCTTAGTGAGTTGGCAGTCGTTGGGAAAGACTTACCCGAGAAAGTCCTGCTACCTCTCTCATACAAGTTTCGGCAAATTCATGATCCCTTATATGAGTGAAGACTGCTCAGAGCTATACGGATAGACTTGGAGTCTGAAAAATCTACTGCTTAATTCTGCAGTCCAGGTTGCCGGCTATCATCTCAGTAATATTAACTAGCTTGCTGTTTTCTTACATGTCGATATTTCTGAGGTGCAGGGGCATTCTCACATATCTAGGCCATTTTGTCGAGAGAGTGTAGGTAGATGCTACGCAAGTCTACTGGCACTATAAACCCCTGCGTAAGTCACCGTCCCTGCTCCCACAATGCAGTCTGTGGGGCACACGGTGGACATCATCGAAATCGATGGTCGAACTGTCAGGCCATTTTGTACAGTCTGCAGAATATTGTTTTCGACACGTATTTATACTGAAGAACCACTCGAAGGAAATTGCATTGACTTCCAACAAGTGCGAATCGGACTTTTTGCGGGGACGCTAAATGTATTTATTTTGCAGAATTATGATAAATGCCCCCAAATCCGGGCACAAGTCGGTTGTTTGAGCTGGCAGCTCCAGAGCAGGAAAACGTCTGAACACTGTTATTTGTATGTTACCTCTTGTGGGATCGATTCAAAAAAGGTGACCTAAGCAAACAGCCTATCCACACAGGTGTCTTTTGGTTTAATAAAGCTTTTTAATTCCCCAATAACTTTGAGCAAGAGCTGGTGTTACACAATCACCCCCGGGTTTCTGAACCACATGCTGCATGTGAATCGTCTATTTCTCTATGCTATTAAACAGATGTCGTATGAGGTTCATAAAAGCATGTTATTCAATTTATAGGCAGCATTAATAATTGAACACATACGATGCTTTATGAAAGCTTATGATTAGGAACGCTTTCGAAACAAAAAATACTATTTCAACAGGCATGGAATTCAAAGAATACATAATGTGCGGACAAATGAGTAAAATATGAGTCGAAATTGTCCCAGTTTGAGCGCAGAATAATTCCGTCGTGCTCAGTTGGGCTGCAGTGCATCAGCTTGACAACCCTACCCGTTGCCTTTCCTACTGTACCTGCCTCAAGCCCTTTAGCGTCCACTGCGACGACCGCCCTATCCAGCGAGGTTCAGCCTCCCAGTGCTCCGCCGCCGTCGGTCATCCCCACCTTCACCATCTTTGGCATTATTCCCGTGGCGTCGACGGTGACGACGCACCTGCACCTGCCACTGAACAAAACGCTCCTGGCGGCTAGTCAATCACCACCCTCATCTCTAGCGGTGAACATTCGGTTCCAACCGGTACCCATTGACACTGCACATTCACCTCGTGCATCGGCATGGGTGGCCAGTTGTGAATTCATCTTACAGGAAGTGGCGAGCCAAGCCCTGGATCACATACATACGGCAGTTGCCATCATCTCAATTTTCCGCATTGCTCTCGCATATCCAGCCATCGCATGGACCTATTCGGTTACATGTGCATTCCTGAAAACCTTTGGTAAATCGCCGCGGATATGGCCATATTGCCACTCATTTTCCCACCAATACATGCACCACACATGAACACCCCTAACACCCCACGTCACCAGCACTTCGAACATAAGTTGGAAGTGTCTTTTTCCGTTTTTTTCTCCATGCGACTCTTCCTCTTCGCGAAAGATCCGAACATTCTACGCGTGCGTACGGGGCCACAGGCCGAGTCTGTGGCATGCGCAAAGGAGTTCTCTAGCTCCGTCAGCCATTGCGTCCACAGCCTGTTCTAGACATTTCGCCGGTTCGGGTATTGGTCTGGCTGCTGGGCGTGGGAAGAGATACTGAGGCGTATTTCCCACTATAAACAATCTGACGAGCTTGAATATGAATGAACGTGAAATTTTGAGTTCCAGGTGTAGGCATATTTGAAGAAGAAGAAGAAGAGTCGAGAACCGGAACATTTCGTTTATTATCCTGAGCTTTCAGACTCGTACAGGAGTTCATCGTCAGAGGTAGTGGCAGAAAGAGGACAAGCGGCAGTTATAAGGCACGTAGGCCCAATCATCGACCGACGTCGCACGACTGGAGGTGACTACGAAGGGCTCTGTACGCCGGCGCCAGATCGATAAATCGATTGACCGAGTTCTCATCCGAGGCCCAGGCTTCAATCAATTCTCGGCCTGTTTTGTTTCCGGTGTGGGTGACTATTTTGGTGGCTGCGAAGTCAAACTCGTGACCCATTTCGTAGGTGTGGGCGGCCACTTGTGATAATGCGTCGCCTCGCCGCACAGCCAGCTTATGTTCATGTATGCGCGATCCGAGCATGCGTCCAGTCTGTCCTGTGCATTTACAAAGACAATTTTGACACGAGATGCGATGCACTACTCCAGATTGCTCTTCAGGTTTTAACCGGTCTTTGATTTTCATGACCCTGTTGCGGTTGGTGGCTTTTGGGCGGTGTGCAATTCCAGCACCTGGACTCCTGTACGAGTATGAAAGCTCAGGATAATAAACGAAGTGTTCTGGTGCTCGACTCTTATTCTTCAAATGAGCTTGAATATGTCATGGTACCTTCAAAGATTTGATCAAGGAGGATGCCAGTTAACGTGATGACTCTGACCTTGCTGTCAGTCCAGTGTGTGTTTGTGCGGAGTAGCGGGCTATCGGACTGAAGACTCCCTCTTAATTTGGCCTCTGTGACGCTCCCATTTTGTGAATCTGAGCTGTCCCAAACCCCATTCCTGTCGTTTTGCAAAATCCTGGTCAGTGTACGTTGTGAACCAGGGGATGTGGTGGTACGCCTGGGTGGGGATCCAGCCGTGCGAGAGACCTGTGCCCTCTTCCGCCGCCCGTCTCATTGGCACTGCCTTGACACCGGGTTCAGGTTGGGGGGGGGGGGTGGAAGGACGGTAGATGCTACGCAAATATATTAATACCTGAAACTAACCCATGCACTATTCACCGTTCCTGCTCCTACACACGGTGCACGTCGTCGGAAACGACGGTTAGATTGCCTTCAAGGGCCTAGGTTGAAATGACAATCATTGTCTTGTTCTCTCTATTCACGTTAACAGGATTGCGACCCAAGTTTTATAACTTTGCAAATTTATTAAGAGGTGCCACCTTCACCTCTATCTGCGAATGTCTCTGATGATGGATTCGAGTGAGAATCCGAAACGTCAGGCAAATAAACTTCTTGTTCCAGTGATCGCATCTTCATCTTCTAAGTGTCACTTGTATCTAAATTTAGATCATGAGAGTAACTCCGTATGCGTTCATTTATGCAATAATTTAATTAATTAAGCCATTTTAAGGTTGAAAATGCTCTAAACGACTATCATTGCCAGCATATTTCCTCCTCTATATGAGGATTTGCCGTTGATGTTTAGCATAACAGATTAAATCTGCTGCAAGATTTTTTGTGCAGGTAGCGTGGGCACGTCGCTTCTGTAGGTTACCTTTTTGGTTTTGAGACGGCGAGGAGGATTACACTAACTGCTGAATTCCCAGTCTTTGACCGCATTGTTTGACGGGGTGAGTTTTCACTTTAGATCATTTCATTCCAGAAGTCATCGGTACACCCGCCTCCTGAAATTTGAACAGGCATATCAGCAATCCCCCCCTCCCCTCCAAAAACGAACAGTTTAAAGTTATTCGTTTGTGTACTTGGATCTACGACGAAGTCGCCGCAAAAAATGTGCCCTTGCCATCTGTTTCGTTAAAGCTTACAGTCCAAAAAATACAAGAGATTAAGTTGAAAATAAAATAGAATTAAAATATGAACGGACCTTCGGGATGGATCATGGTACGATCCATCTTTCTCTTTCCCCACGAGTTGGACGGGAATGTTTTATAACAGGAAATCTACGATCCTGGTTCATCGAACGTATACACATAATCCTTTCCCAAATGAATATCAAATAATTAACCTCAAATTCTTGCGAGCTGTAAGACTTAAATATGTATTCTGTATCATTAACGGCAGCAATCATAATTAAAATATTCTGTGAATATTAGCCCAAACCTCGGCTACTTATCCTTACAGCCGTCCTGATTCTTACATAGTGGATTTCCAGTGACCGTCCTCATGCCTCGTCTTACGCAGCCTGCCTGCCATACGACGGCGCATTATCCGGCATAGTTTGTTGCCTATGAACCTGACCCTGATCATTCACGCTTTTTGAACATGTGTAGCGACACAGCTGTGAGAATGTGTGTAGTCTATGTGCTACTAATATTAAGTGAAGTCCCCGATTGGAAGGAGAAGACGCAAGGCACTAAAATGAGGGGTTTATAGTGCACAGAACTCGGAGTTATCCTCTCAGGCGAAAGTGACCACCTGAGAAGCCAGGGCTGGTGTTGACTGCGTCCAGTCATGCCTGAGAGTCTTTGGGACAGTGGTGGCAGACGCTGTTGTAGGTTCGTGGGCCAAGCTCAAGTGGTCTCCAATCGGTGTGTGTTACTATTGCCGAGGGATGGTGTTCAAGTGACCTGCTTTGCTGGTTCCAGGGGTGACGCGTTCAAGTGGCGCATGGGTAGCCGAGACGCTATGTGGACGCAATTGTGTTATAGCTGAAGTCGGTCGAGTGGCTTCATGTCAGCGCGTCTGGAACGGCTCGCTGCAAGGGGTGAATGACCTTGAGGCAGCAAGATCTTGAACAATGATGTCAGACCGGTCATCATGGGTGCCCACTACAAATGCAACCTCCGACTCAGCCTATCGACCAACGAACCGCATATGATAGGACCCCCAATCGTCTTGAACAAAACAATTCATTTATTTACATCCAACACCCATCCGCTCACTTCCCACTATTGCTGTGGAAATTTCAGATCATCAAAAAACCTACCAATACTTAGTCATACCCGAACGATCTCCTTTTTCTTGCTCACAAACAAAATGCCAACTTAATTTATTTTGCTCTGTGGGCAGAATAAACCGGCCTTCACTGCTCTCTGGCTTGTGTTATCAAACGGTACGAACTTCTTGTGTACGGTTGGAGTTTATCTGATATCCCTGACCGCCATAGCCCGTTAGTCTCTTTCATCTTCGTGCACTTTCTCTTATTCGCCTCCAGACTAATTCTTCACTAGAATATCCCGCATGGCCGATATAAGCTCATTGCATTCTTTCTCAGTATATAAGCGAAACTGTTCCTTCGTCAAGCCGCCGCCCTAATTAACAATCTATTTTCCACCTTTGATGCAGCTTCCTCTAGTACGTTTGTAAACAGTAACATGGATTTAAAATATTCGGGGCCTATCTTTATTAATACTAAAAACTTTGGGTTGCAAAACCGTGTCCCTGAGTCCAAAATTCACTTTGTAAACTAAGTTGTTGTGCGAGTAGCTAAAAAGTTTCTGGTTTTGCTTGCAATTAAGCCGCATCTAAAATACGTTTCTTGTCTGCACACTTCGGCCCATTTGAGATGACAGATGCCGTAATCAATCCGCTTGTATTCCGGGCTTCGTGGTATACCTCGGGATCAGTAACACTATAACTTCCGTTCTTCAATCTAACTGCGCATCCCGTGTAAGACAGTCGGACCATAGCTTCAAAACCATCATGAATCATATCTGTTAAGTGTTCTGTGTTTCCGCCTGTCTGTGTGTCTGAGTGATACCTATCACCTGTATTATGCATTTAGCGCAAATTGTTTACAGCCAGACGAATGTGCCAAGGCTGATTTGCATATATTCTTCACTTGTCATGTTAAGCGTACAGTCGTATATCTCGATATTTGGGATTTCCTTAACGGCCTACATATAAAGGATGTTAAACCCATTTTCCACGGCTTCTTGGCTAAATTGATATTTGGTTCGTTCTCTCGATGAAATGACAGAGAAGATGAGGCTTATAGAGGCATATGCCGAGGACAGACTCTGCATCAGACACATCCTCATTACTAATAATCCCGAATATGATCTATTTTATGCCACCTTAACCGTTACAAAAATACCTGACCACCATCGTATGCTAATTCCGCGCGGCCTTTCTGATCTTCTGACATCTAAAGCCTGAGAATCAGATATCAGTGACATAACTCATTAGAATTCCCCTAAATGAAAAGAGAGTACGGATAGTCAAGCGTGTACACTAACCGTGACATGGTTGAAAATTTTTGTTTGAAGCCGCCACGGCCTCTTGATCAGTAGCTTGACCTTAAACTTAGCCTATTACCATAGCCTCGCCGCTCAATTAAAAACCCAAGGTCTGCCGCAAGATGTCAAAATCAGCAGGGACGTTAATAACTACAAATGAGGCGACTTATCTGGATCCACGTTTGATGCCGGGGTAACAAAAAGAGCAATCTTATCACGGGTTTAGCTATGCCGGATTTTGTCCAGAAATAAATTTCGGCTACGGCCAGACATACGGTGCAGCAACAGCACAGCATTTCCAGGACACTCGTAATCAAGCACTTCGGAACAGCCGGGCGCCGCTAGCAACTGGTGGGTGCTACCCATCGTTTTACTCGCACAACCCCGAGGTCTTCCTGAGCAATTTGAATCGAGGAAGAGACAGATACTTGGATAGAGTTCATATTGAGTTACTAAACACCGATTTCGAGAGGATGGAACAACTTCGTCGATTCGACCAGGTAGGTCTTGTTCATACTTAAAAGAAACTAAATCCCTTATTTTGGCCATTATTCAGCATTGCTGATTTTGAATGATTGTGGAATAGTTGCATGAGCTGCAAGTCCGTTTTCGACGCGTTACGCTCGTGTCCCCATCACAACCAGTGGATTTACGAATTTTATTTGTCTAAAATCCCCTATCTGAAAGTAAAAAACCATACACTGCCCGCACTGGCGAAGTCTTGATCATAGACCCATTCCTTAATGCTTGGTACTATATACTTCCGCACTAGCCTGTATTCAGGGTACATCACTAGCTACTTATTCCATTCCATTTTAAGAGGCAAAAGCAAACGCTCTTTGATATCATAAACACCAGTGCGTCACTACTTGCATAGAGGAGCAACATAAACGAATAATGCCCAATTGGTCGTAAGGCCATCATAGATCCCACATTTGTGTATGACGCTCGGAGGTCGAAATCCACGTAGCCTTCATTTGGAACGCTGCAGACACGATGTCATGAATAGTTAGGTACTAAGGATGAGCCCTTGGCAACATTCCAGGCATAAATGAGAAAGCTGAACCCCACTATCTCTGACAAGGCCACCAGTCAAATCCCCGGTATCGTCCAACCGCTGCGCTGCCTGGCAATTATCTTTGTCTTAGTTACTTAGTAAACTCTAAAACGTCCATAGAGGTTACTGGCATCTGGCCTGAGCAACGTGATGACAGCGCAGCAAAACCTTTTACTCGAAACAATTTTTAAAATTAAACTGTTGGCGGTTATTACCTCTTTACACGAAAGACCACTTTCCGGACGTAACACGTAGTGTGTAAATTTTTCTTTCTTCCTTATTATACAACATTTAGTTGGCCCAACGTCACCGGCTCTACTACAGAGATCGTACCGACACTGTACATCCAGTGCCAACGTTCCAAATACCAGAGTCTTCCGCAAGACGCATCCAGGCAAAGTACGGATTCTAAGAACTCCGGTTTTCCATCAGATCCCAAATCTGTCAAATGAATCACCCCCTCAGGGCTTCCTTGGGCTGGAAATGACTGCATCAGCAAAAGCACCATTGTCTATGTAAAGACTTTACTTTCCTGAAGAAAGCAGAAATAGCGAAAAAATTAATAAATGTGCAACAAGTGCAATTGCAGAAACAGCGCCAAGACCACGGTAGCAGTAGGACGTGGAATGTAATGCAAGACGCGGGTCGAAACAGGCGGTTTGATTGGTAAAACATACTAAAATCAGCAGATTACGAACCACATAAAAAAGCAGTAATGATGGGTTTGAAGAAGGTAGGATGCAGAAAGAAAAACACAGTAGTGACGGTAATATGACCATTATTCGACCGTCACCGAC